CACACCACACCACACCATACTACAACTCACCACACCATACTACAACCCACCACACCACACCACACTGGTCACACCACACCATACTACAACCCACCACACCACACCACACCACACCACACCACACCACACCACACCATACTACAACTCACCACACCATACTACAACCCACCACACCACACCACACTGGTCACACCACACCATACTACAACCCACCACACCACACCACACCACACCACACCACACCACACCACACCATACTACAATCAACCACACACCACACCACACCACACCACTTGTCTATTTTGTGGTACACTTTTAGTCACAGAGCTGCACTACTATAATACTACAATTAATAATACACTAGTCTATATTACACTAATTTGGGCAGATGTTATATTTCATTTAAAAAATTCTAAATCATATCCAGGTAAGTTTGAAGAAGTAGAAGATGATGGCTACATTCACTGGAACCTCATTCAACACATGCAAAAGGCTGGGATGGTAAATGAAGCATATGATCTTCTAGTTGATCTCTCTTGGGTATCAGCAAAGCTTAGAATAACAGGACCTGCTGACTTACTTAGTGATTATATTGGTGTATCGAAATCTGTCAAGGGAGAGGTAGGGCAACTTTGTATAATTCACATTTATATTGGTGTATCTAAATCTGTCAAGGGAGAGGTAGGGCAACTTTGTATAATTCACATTTAAAGAATTAATTTAGTCAGAGTGAGGTAAAAAAATGATTGTTGGATGAATGGATGAATGAATTCCCTGTTAAAGTAATGATAAATTTGAATATAAATTTATGGAAAAATAAATGAAATTTCAATATTAAAATATACGTCATTTGGATGAAGGAATTGATTGATTGTTGTTGAACAAATAAATTGATAGATGAATGAATATAAAGGTAGAAGATTGTTAATGAATGGAGATATATATGGTTAAGTGAACTGGATTATTCAACAAAATGACAATTGAATGGACGCATGCTGTGACTAGTATGATGGTTTAGTGGACAGATGAAGGAATAGATGTCAAAATGAATGAGACCATCTCAGTATGTTAATATACATACAGACATACTGATTAAGTTGAAAAAATAATAATTTTTCTTAAAGGAAAGTCTTTACAAGCTTGAAGCCTTTCATCATTTCGTCAGTATCAACGCACATCTATTTGTTGAAACACCGATGCCTGACATCATCCAACTCGCTCTACAAGAACCACAGACATCTCCTGTCTATGAACAAGCAAAGCTACAAGCTACAGAATTATCAAAGAAAGGCAAACTTTATCTAGACTGGAGGTGTGTGCTATTGTGTGTTTACTCTCTCCCTTTAACTTTAAGTTTGATTTAATGTAAAAACAGTTGTTTCAATGAAACTTTAAGCAGCTTAAATATGTCTGGAGTGTTTTCAGTGATGTAAAGAAGCTTGTTAAAGCCTCACCTGAAGCCATGACCCAGTCAGTCTTCCTTCAAAGGGCCCTATATTGCTCAAAAAAAATGTTTTGCATTTTTGTATAGTTTTCACAACTACAATTATCACAAAAACACTACCAACATTTCAGGCATATTTTGCAGAAGGTGTTTATGGGTTTGTCCTTGAAGCATCTGCAATCAGGCTACAAGTACATTGTGATGATAGATGATAGCTTTAGTTCAATGAATAACATTTTTCAAGGATGGTAGCTTCATCTTAGTGCAGAGATGGTTTGATTATTATGTAATTTTATTTCATCTTAGCAATTGGAACAAAGATTCTCTTGACTCCAGTCTTCAAATCACAGCCAAGGTGCATGATGGGGCTGTTTATAAGTGTCAGTTTTCTAAAGACTCTCAGAGAGTTGTATCTTGTGGAACTGACAATAAAGTCAAGGTAACAAACAAAACATTAGCTTGATTTTGGTACCCATTCATTTATTTTTTCATTCACCCTTACATACATACATCCATCTCTCCATCCATTTATTTGTTTGTATTTTAACCCATTCCATCTTCCATTCATCAAGGTATCCATCCATCATTTCATCTATTCAACTATACATTAAGTCATCTGTTTATTTACTCCATTCATCCTTCCACTCCTTGCACACATCCATTCGGTCGTCACTGGCGGATCCAGCACTAGTTCACTAATTTGCATCATAAAACAAAATGGTTCATTTTCACGGATTTGTTTTATGATGCAAATTGTTGAACTAGGTCTGGATCTGCCATTGGTCATCTATTTTATTTAATCAGCCAGTCAGGCACCCATCCATCTAGTATCTAGTCTTGCATCTAATCATTTCACTCCATCATCAAAGACTGTAATATTAAGTTAATGTCCATGTTCTAAGGTGTGGGAGAGCCAGTCAGG